GAACTGCGGTTGAAGCGTCGCAAGACCACCATCATCTTCCGCACATCCCACCGGCTCTCGACGCCTACGTTCGTTTCAAACCCTTATTGTTACCCCCGTCCGCTCTCTTCAGCAAAACAAGAAACCATCCTCGAGCTTGATGCCTCGAGTTTCTACGATCTGACGATTCATCGCTGCTTGTCGACTGGCTCGCGACCAAATACATTCTTTTCTTTTCTTTTCTCAAGTGCCCTCATCGACTGACCACACAAACATACACACACACAACCCCCCCTACCCGAACCTCCTTTCCCGTATCCTCTAGCGATCACCTTAGATCTTCACTGAGGAGACTAAGATACTCCACCAGCATGTCACTGAAGCAGGAGTCTCAGAGCATATCTGCTCCTTCGGGCGCCCCTGCACCGCCCGTTGCTCCCGCGATGGCTAATGCGCCGACGAATTCCGGTGCTTCAGGCCCTGCTACCTCTGTCCAACAACAACAACAACAGCAGCAGCAACAACGTCCTTCACGACGTCCTCCGCGAAAAAGCACGCTCACTCAGCAGCAAAAGAACCATAAGCGTCAACGTGCCACTCAAGACCAGCTTGTGACTTTGGAGATGGAATTCAACAAGAACCCCACGCCAACTGCCGCAGTGCGCGAGAGAATCGCGGAGGAGATCAACATGACTGAACGCTCGGTTCAGATCTGGTTCCAGAATCGGTACGTGTTGGAAGGATTGGGTTTTTAGCATCTGATCTTTGTGAGGAGTACTTGGCTAACCCCTAAAACTTTCTCTCACAGACGAGCCAAGATCAAGATGATTGCGAAAAGAGGAATTGAGACCGGCGAAGATTGTGATTCCGTGCCTGAATCGATGCGCCAGTACTTGGCCTTGCATTGGGACCCTTCCAAATCCCGTAATTTGTTCAATCGGGGCTATGGTTCTGGTGACCCGATGCTTAATGCACCGACCTCGTCCAGCAAAATCGGTATGTTCCCGTTTTATCCCGCGGACAGCTGTTGGTCACCGTCAGTTCTAACCAACTCTTTCCTGTCGCCAGTGATATCCCACTTCTCCTGTCGCTCCCTGAGAGTTGGAACGTGGAGACGTGTTGGCCAAAACACGATGGACTTGGTCATCTTTTATTCACCGGACAAGTCTTGTATGACATACTATATCAACAATGACTCTGCAGGATACAAGATCGAGTATCCGTTTTCATATATCAAGAATATCGCCTTGGAACCTGCGGAACCCGGTCCAACCGGTGATGCTACCCCTCCAAAGTTTGGTGGAATTGTCATCGAACTAAATCGTCCTCCAAATTTCTACATGGATTCGTCCAACTCCGGTGGCTTCTATCAGTGTGGTGACTTCACAGAAGATCAGCAGGCCACCAAATCTCTTGTTCACCATCTTGGAGGCGGCCACCCAAAGGTCCTCAGCGTTCAATTGGCGAAGCTAGTATCCTTGGAATCCTTTCAGAATCGTCATATCCACTATGGCTTTACCGGTTTCGCGTCGGCTCCAGTGTCTCCGCACATCATCCATCGCCCAGCTTCACAGCCAAACCAAATGGCCCGTCGCCAGTCTGCGATCTACCAGGAAAATCATTTTGGTATGGGGCTACATCCACCGCGTGGCCATAAACGCCAGCGCAGTCGTTCCGTGCCCGTTCCAGTTGATTTCTCCGCGATGCAAACACCCATGCCATCCTTCCACGTTCAGAACCCGTCGACGCAGTTCCAACCCAATCCGAATATCTTTGCTCCTGTACCCCAGACGCATATCCCGGTGAATGGGGTTGCAGGTGCGTTACAGGTTGACACTTCTGCTGGCTACAATCTCGATTTCCACAATTATCCCATGTCTGCAGCGACGGCTTCTCCTCCAGAATTCGCAAGCCCATCTCTTTTTGCGACCACGGCTGCCCCCGACCAGCCACAGACGACTCACTTGGGCGCGCCATACAATGTCCCGTTCTTGTCACCTTCGTCGATGGTCGACCATGGCAATGTCATTGCACACTCGGCATCTCCACTGTCTCATGTTAGTCAGGCCGAACCTAGCATAGCAGACCAGTCACCACCACTTACCACTACTCAACGTAGTTCTCCCGCTGAAATGTTTCCCGTTTCAAATGACCCAGCATCTTCGCTGCCTGACGACGGTCTCCTCCTGAGCGAGATGTATTCCAAGCAGAACTTAAATGTCTCGATGCCCTCACCCCCAATGGATGATACCACTTTCGCCTTAACATTGCAAGGCCTCCATGATCAAGGAGCTTCAGATAATGGCGTTGATTTCCATGGCATGCTTTCCTTCGACACAGTGGATCCAATGTCGCTGGGTGCCGATTCTTAATACTTGGTTCTTTTAGAAGAGCAACCATCGAATCGCAACAGCATCTCTTGGTTTTGGGTCGCCTTTTTTAATATATAATTGATCAAATCTCCCACATGAATTTGGAGCGTGAACAGCTGTCGACCCGCGGAACATATCTTAGGAATATACCGGACGAGAACGTCGCTGGAAATGCGTGAATTAGCCTGTTACCTACATGCATATCATCTGCATTATCTTCTTTAACCATGCGACATTTTTATCACCACGATTCGCTCATCACAGCCAAGTCTGTTTTAAAATCCTCAAAAAATTGAAAAAGCACTGTGAATCTACGGCATTCCGTCTTGCACTTGAACCGGGAAATTCTTACTGGAGAACATACCGCCAAAAAGCCCCCTACTCATGCCTTTACATCCTTGCCTACGGCTGGGCCTGTAGACGCTATATTCTTTGAATTCCGCTCAATTCTTGAAATTGAAATATCCACTTATTTTCCCTGGCCTTTTTTGTTTTTCTTATTTGAAGCGTGAAGTTCTTTTTTCTTTTCTTTTCCTTTTTTTTTTTTTTTTCTGTTACGTTTTTTTATTTTAGTTTCTATTCCTATCCATCAGAATGGCTTTTCATTTTATTATGATCTATCGATTTTTTATTCATCATACCATTCCTGCTATTTTACGCGTGTATTTTCGAGGGAACTTCGGATGGGATTGGGGTTTGAGGTTGATTCGCTTCTCCATTGCCTTTATCTTTTCTCTCTCCAACCCCCCCTTTTTTCCCCCTTCTCTTCTTTTATATATTCCTATTTTATTCATTTCTTTCCATTCGTCCAGACAACGTTTTGTCAGAGACCTCTTAATTGCTCTACTCCACTTTTTTTGCCCCTTCATAAAGCTTCCCCTATCCCAACTATCAGTGGGTGATTTTGTTCATTGCTCTCTAGCAGCCAGCTTTCCCAGCTTGGAGGCTCTGAGTATGCGGCCTAATATCTCGGACGATGCCACGGCCTTTGGCGGATTCTCTGCTCCCGAAAGCACCGTCTGTCTCTGGTGCAACCCTTGCCGAAGTTGCGAGCGAGCGAAAACGGGCTACCAGAGGAATTAAGGACGTAATTGACTTTTGGATGTTTACGAATGGGGAGACTTCTTTGAGAGAGTGGGAGGTGCTTGCTTCTTTTTCTTTTTCTGATGACTGGGGATGAAATTGATTCATAGTTTGTGCCCTATTTTTTCCTCTGTCATTCTGCTTTCCTATTTGTTATTTTTTTTTTTTCTCTGGGAGCGGAATTGATCCTCTTTTTTTGTATCTTATAGCGGGACCTATGTATACCTATCAATGAGTATCTTATTCTTACGCCAATGAACTGGAGTGAACAAACCCTCACAACGCCAACCCTATTTTGCCGTCATCGCAATATTTAAGAAAGGAAAACCTCCAGGAAACCACCTGTCACAAGGGCCATCACTGGCCAAAATATCATCCGTCATCTCTTGGCTCACATCAGTCCGCTCCCTCCCATCCCTTCGGCACCGAAGGTTTCACACCTCTTCTCCTCAGATACGCTTCCAACCTTGCCTCTAACTTAGCCAGCACACCACGATAATCCACCCCTTGCCTACCCCGCCCCTCACCCTTCCCCCCCTCCGTCACCCCATCACGAACCCAAACACTCCACGCACCCATCAAGCTCGCCATTAACACATCTGTGCCCAAGCGATCTCCCACCACAGCGATCTCCGCAGGCGACTCAACGACGTTGCGTGCCATGAGATATTTCAGGACGGCGGGGAACGAAAATGGTTTCTTCAGCGGTGTCTTGTGGCCACCGGGGTGGTGTTGGAGGGGTGGGGAGCGGAAGACGGGGATGCGCAGGTCGTGAAGGTGGGATTCGAGCGTGGTGGCTTCGGCGGCGTAGATGGGTTGGTCTGGGTTGCTGCCGGAGGTGTTGGAGACGATGAGGATGCCGTGCGGGTTATGGGTGAGATTGAAGGGGGAGGATGGGTCGGTACGCAGTGCATGTAGCTTGGAGAGGTAGCTAGGGGGGATAGAGAGGGTGTTGGGGGGTGTGAAGGTGTTGTCTTTGTCGAGGACGAGGGCACGGATGGTCGGGGGCGGGCGCGGGTGGGTTGCGGTAGAGGAGGGCGGGAGGAGGTGCGGGCCTAGGTCGTGTGGGAGGTCGAGGAGGGTTGGGATGGTGTAGTTTGGGAGCAGGTAGGAGGGCTGGCGGAGGAGCGTGGAGATGGTGAGATTGAAGGCTGGGATGTTGCTGTTGAGCGGGCGCATGGTGAAGCTGGTCGACAAGCCGCAGATTTTGAGGAGATTGGGGTAGAGTGCTTTGGAATACGATCAATTGGTAGTAGAATCACATCTCTATGCCCTGTGGGAGCGGAGCCATGCCAGTGACGGGCAGAGAGCTGTTGCGCATAGTTTGTTTTGTCTTCATCATCATCATCATCATCTTGGTGACATTTTGGATCTGATGTTGGCCCGTGCGCCACTCTCCAACCTTCAGCGAAAAGACTCGCTGCGTGTCGGCTTCAGCATCATTTTGCGCATTCACCCACTCACTCACACGCCTCACAAATAGCTGCTTGGAAGTTCCTTTTCCTTTCTGCCTGAGCTGTCTTCTGTTTCCCCCCCACCCCCAAATTCGAATAATCACCACCCACCATGGGCAAGCTAACCAGCACAATCGGCATTCCAATCAAGCTTCTCAACGAAGCCCAGGTGAGTCGGCTTTGCCACCCGCCTTGATCTACACATGCTGCCCCCGGAGTGGCACCATGCCGCATGCTAGCCATAATGCATATGCTGACTCGTGTGCACTGCTCCCAGGGCCATGTCGTCACCCTCGAAATCACATCCGGCCAGGTCTACAGAGGAAAGCTCCTAGAAGGTGCGCAATACATCCCGCTCTACTTCCCGCGACATATCTCTCCTAATTCGCAATCCCACGCACTTATACTTGGAGGGAGCACACTGGATAGTAATGGGAACAACGCTAACAGTTTTTGTTTTTCGCGACGCTTAGCCGAAGATAACATGAACGTCCAACTGAAAGATATTACCGTCACGGCGCGCGACGGTCGTGTTTCGCATCTCGACCAAGTCTACATTCGTGGAAGCCATGTCAGATTCTTTATTGTTCCAGATATGTTGCGGTATGTCTGATCCTTTGCGCTTCTGACGTGTGCCATGGCGCGTCTTTTTTTTTTTTTTTTTGGGGGGGGGGGGGGGGGGGGGATTTTGGGTTTTTTCGCTAGATGGGTATGTTCGATACTAACGGGTGCCGTTTTCTATATAGAAACGCACCGATGTTCCGAACAAGAGGTCAGCGCGGAAGAGGTGTTGGTTTGGCTCGAGGCAGAGCGACGGTCAACAGAGCCCGTGGTCAGCGACGAGGTTAGGTGTGATGTGATGTGAAAGACTCACGAAGATACCGGAGACAGCATGTAGAAATGGCCACGGTGATGAAACATGCCTGCCTGTCCTTCACGGACATATCCACCGTGGCGGTTGTGCGTTTATCTGCCTACTTTTGGGGCTCCTTGATAGATAACGGCTGGCGATGAGGCGTGGGAGGTTTAATTCTACATGGGCGACGCTGAAACCCTTTTTCTTTTTCTCATGAGATAATTGATTGCCTGTTCTAACGCTTGGGACGAAACGAGAAGATTGATTTTTCAACTGCCGCGGTCTGTGTTAATGACTAGCCCTCCAGTTACTTCATCGGAAGGTGGGCCATATATATTATTGGGATCCTACCAAACCCAGCTTCAAGTAACATAAAATCCAATGCACTTGATGTGAATGGCTATTTACAGTTCAAGGCTCTCAGCTCCCCGCGTAGCGTAGTAGGTGCCCTTGCACGATACCCAAGACAAGTAACAATTTGTATTCAATCACTTTGCATTTGAACTGCTTATACGGAATAGATCAAAAGAGTTAGGAGCAGCAGTGAAGTTAGTCTGACCCCATTGATATGGTATAAAAGACTGAACGCTTTCCTCTCGTTGGGTTCTTCGACTTCCGCCCCGCGTTTCTTGGTTCCTTTATTCCACTCCGCTCCACCCTCATCGCACCTCGATCATCATGTCTTTAACGGCCTCCGGGGCTACAGCACAGACTCAGAAGAATGCCAATAGAATATCAAATCCTCAGCGACTCCTGGTGCTGACACCACATGCGCATTCCCAGACCACCATCCCACCCTTTCTGCAAAGCTTGACCGGGAATCCGGTTCCTCCGCCAGGAGTACAAAATGATCCCCCGCCAAACGAAGAAACCAGCCAAGGTATATCCTAACGCCCTTCACTTCTTATTACAGTAGAAAGAAAAAGACTCTCAAGAGCTAATCTAACCGCGTTCAGGACCGGGACATCAATCAACCGCAGCGTTCGCCGGCTACACCACCCACCCACCATTGCCCCTAAACACCAAATACTACTCAGCCGATATCCCAATATGGGTAGACGAAATTCCTATCCCAGCAGTCTCTTCTCCCGCCTCATTACACTCCCACACATCCCAAGCAGAACAAGAAAATAACACGCCATCCACCTGGTCCGCCACCTTCCTCGCTCCGCCAGCCGCCGAAGTCCGCGCCGCCATTGGCGCGATACTTATCTTGCTCCAAAAGCCGGTCAGCGTGAGTTCGGCGGTACCGAGCGGGGAAGCGACGGTGGAAAGAGAGCGAGTGCGTGAGGGTATAGCTGCGTTGAAGACTGTGGTCAAAGCTGTGGCGGATGTAAAGAGGAAGATTGAGGAGGAGAGAGGGGATAGCGGGATAGGTGACGTGCCGGGGCTGGTGATCTTGGTTGGAAGCGAGGATAAAAGGCGGAGTAAGCAATTGGGAGAGAATTTTGAAGATGCCTGTCTAGGTGGTGGGGGGGACGGAGGGCTGAGAGAGATGGCGGAGTATGGAGTGAGATGGTGGGATGAGGAGCTGACTGGGATGGGAATATATGATTTTGAAGTTGTGGGCTGGGATCCTGCTGGGGCTGAGACCGAGGGAGAGAAGAGAAGGAATGAATTTGGAGGTATGTTTTTCTACATTAATTCCTCCTTTTGAAGCCCTTCTTTTTCCGTCTCTAACGAGTATACGATAGAGCTTGAAGGGATGCCGAGGATACGGGAGGTCCTCGAGACCAATGAATGGGCTATGGCTTCCAGCATCGGGGATGATCTGGATTCTGCTTCTGGTTTCCTGGAGGATCTGGATGACGACAGGCTAGACTTAGAAATTGGCGAACTCGAGCGGGAAATGGTTGGGCTGCGGATGGCAATTGAGAACGGCGGAGGTGACGGTGCCGACTTGGAAGGGGAAGATTTTGTTGAAGACGATCTGAAGGTCGAACAAATGGAGGGATTAATGCTCAGAGTACAAGCCATCAAAGGTGAGTATTCCTCCATTTCGCCCAAGTATTCGACTGATCCCTGTTTTTTCAGATATGGGAGCTGATCTCCCCGACTCGGAACGGAGGAAATTTGCAGCCAAAGCAATCAGGGATATCATGAAAGACTTATGATCAATGTCCGAACATTTCACGAGAACATTAGGTTGCATGTTATTTCCTCCACCTTTATCCGTACACTCCTAACAATCCATACCAACAGACATCCTTGTGCTCCGATACCGTTTTGATCGATGCACACCATGTACCCATGTCTCCCAAATGTCTTTGCAGTAACCCAATGAAAAATCACTTTCTATCGTACAAACTGCTGCGTCCGATGCAGAATTCCGGAGAATCGCATACGTATGCATCGTCTCAGGTGGCTTTTTTTGCCGCGGCTTTCATAACCTTTCGTCTTTGAGCCATCATATGCGTGTACAAGATGTACGAGCCTATATTTGAATCAGAAACCCTATGCTCCGCAACGAGATCCAACGTCATGTTTGGTCTTCCTTACCTGGGACATAAACTAACAAAATAGCCTTAAACACCCACGGCAGTAACGGATGCACCATGATCGCCGGCTCCAAGGCAAGATACATCAACACGCACTCGCTCGAAATCCCGATCGGATACAGCACAAAGAAGGTATTATACCTAGATCAACCAAAACATCAAATCAGTATCGTTACCCAAGCACTCAAGTACGCGGAAGGAAAAAAGAGGAGGGGGGAAAGCAAGAAACTAACCTCAACCAACTAAGCCATCCAGGCACTCCATTGCCCGAAATCTGCAGCATAAAGAACCCGTATCTCACACATTCTGTCACTCCCCAAGCTCCCAAACACCCGACGAACCCCCAATCTCCCAACTTCCCTCCCCCTCCTCTACCCCCACCGAGGATTCCCATTTCCCTCCCCACCCTCTCCTCCGCAAACATCCACATCACTCCCCAAACCACCACAATCCTGCTCGCAACCTGCATCAGCGTCGTAGTCACCGGTGCCCGCACGATGCCCACCAGCGAATGCACAATCTCCAGCAGCGCAAGCGACTGCGTCACCCGCAGCAGCGGGAAGAGCGCATTGTAGGTGGCTGCCACATGGCCGGTGGGGATAAGCAGAGCTAAGAGAAGAAACAGACGAAGAGTGATGACGCTCCAGAGGGCGAAGGATGCCGTGTTGTACAGGAGGAGGTAGGCCCGTGAGGTGGTGAAGACAGTTTTCGCGGGAACGGACGAGGCGGGAGCTTTGGCAGACATTTCGTTCTTAATTTTTCGTTTTGGTGGCACAGATTAAGTTTTCCGGGGGATGCCTTCGCCTCCTCTCCTTGCACCTTGTTCGAATCCAGAAGCTGGACGGCGATTGAGTCTATATTCGCGTTCGCGTGTGCGTGTGTGTGCGTTCGTTGCGTCTTCATGAAACCGTGAACCTTACTCCGTGCCTGAGCTCCGTTTTCAGTCACGTGATAGCTCCCGCTGTTGAGCCGGGCGACGTCATTCCTCGAGCTAAGGTCAAGGCTTCAGCACAGCAACAGCCAGCTCTCGCAATAAACTACCTGTTGGGTGTAGGAAATAATAGCATATAGAGAGGAATTTCCATTTCAATGAACGACTATATAAAGGCAATGTACAGTACATAATCAACATATTCCATGCAGCCCACGATCATTCATTACTCCGTGCCTCTGCTCCTCATATTAGTTATACGAATAAACGTGGTATCATCGAAAATTAACACTTCAACACAAAAGCACATTGCAAAAAGAGGGTATATCAATTTGAGTCGGCCCATTCCTGAGGTAGAATGACGTCCGAAAGGAAGACATTTTTCGACTCCTTGCCTGTCAGTATTTACTGTTTTAAACTGGGGCTCTGGTCCCAGGAATCGTGTGAGGGCCGTTGAGCGTAGCTTCACCAGCAGCGGTGGAGAGTGACGGATAGGTGGTTAGAGGCTGAGGCGCGGGAGCAGAAGGTTCTGTAGTAGCAGGTTCTGCAGCAGCACGCTCTGCTGCCTCTTGCTCACGAGTCTTGACGACAATCTGATGCGGTTTGCGTGTGATCGGAGCAAGTGTCGGTAAGCTGCTGCTCTCGGACGCACTACCGATTCCAAAGACAGGTGACTCCCATCTTTCTCCCTTCTCGGCGAGCTCTCTGTATTCAGTGGCTTTGGTGGAGATGCCTCCGGGTAGTTCAATTCCCTTGAAGATAGAATCGTGCTGGGTGAAGGCCATGTTGACTTTGGTCTCGCTCTTCGGTTTAGCCTCCGCCTTCTTCCGTGCCTCCTCCTTTCTTTCTGCCATTTTCTTCCGTGTTGCTGCAAGATAGTGTGCGTACATGCTACGTTTGTCTTCGGGATCACTTCGAGCGGCCTCTCGGGTACGTTGAGCCTCGTTGTAGATTTCATATGCGAAAGCATCCCCCTTCGTGAATGAGTCGCGAATTTGCTTTTCTACCGCCTTCTGGATGGCTGGACGCATGACCTTGAACAGAAGGGGCCTAAACATAGTGAAGAGAAGCTTGTGTTTGGATTTCTTCAGTTTCACATCAAAGTTTTTGATTGTGACATCGACGATTTCAGGTTTGATGAAATGTTGCCTATCCTCTGCTTGGGAGGTTGATCCAACGATTTTAAAACTGAAACCTTCGCCGCCTAGGTAGATATTCATGATACCGACATCCGAAATTCTTGGAAATCCCTTCTTCTTCCGTACGTAATAACTCACATCTATGGAAATGTATCAGTTACGGCCAACGCAAAGTGAAATAGGAAGACGCACCCTTCAAGTCAGTTTGGACTCCTGTGGCGGAGATCATCACTTTGTTGTCGTGCTTGTTGGTGATTTTCTTGCGTCCCCAACGCCAGTAATTATCGCTACCAAACTCGAGCACATTGGGCATCAGGTTATCGGTTTCGACGGCAAGGTTTTCCACGATCTAGGAGTCAGTTAGTAAAAGATCCCGATGACCTCAAAGCTTGTCATCTTACTTACCAAATCTATCATCGGATCAGACACTTCAATGCGTGGGATAGGAATGTAATGAAGGTTTTCAAAGATCCCTGGGACCACCACATTGGCAAAGTCTTTAAGCAGATGTTTCTTGAAGACAACCCTTCCCTGCATATCAGTTCCAAGATTCGTCCAAAGCCGCTGCAGAGATTGAGCAAAATCTCTGTTAAGAGGATCCTGATCAAATTGTTCGCCGATAAACTTGACCTCGCCCACAAGGCGATTGCTGTCGTCTCGATAACGGTCTCGGAGCAGGTAGTGACCCTCATCATAAAGTCTCTTCCACTCTTCGTTCGACTCTTCCTGCAAGACGAATCCTTGCTCCTGGAGACAGCGGCTAAGTGATATATTAGCAACGCCTTCTACTTGCCATTCAAACTTTAACGACTTACCGAGTAAATAAATTCACGGATTTGAACCACTCTCTCAGTCGAGGATCACTGTCGGCATCTTTATAGATCTTATTAACAGCCTCGAACACGTCATCAAGAGATGTGGAGTTGGCAGAGCGCTCGAGGAGTGTCTGCTAAGCAATCAGCAAAACAAAATATCCAGCCGACCTAATTTCTTTTCTTTTCTTTCTTTTTTTTTTTTTTTTTTTTTTTGGGGAGGGGGGGGAAGCATACTCTAAGCTTGGTTTCCAATTTCTGGAGATCGGACTCTTCCCTTGCACCCTTCAACGTTCCTGCTCCCTGCTTGGATAAGGATTTGGTGTGGCCGGTATATGTTTCTGCTACTGACAGCAGAGTTTCAATGGCATGTTGGTCTATATTGAAGCCCTCCGTTAGCAACGACTCTTTTTTTGCTAATGGACGGTACGAGAGCATACAATCAGAGTGTCCCTGGATCTCCACAATCATCTTCTTCACTCGCCACACGGTTTGCTCTCGACGCTCTTTCGGCATCTTTGAAGCGAGGAATTCTTTAGTGCGTTCAGTAGCCTCGCGCCTACGGGATTTGGCCTCTTCAGTTACAGCACCATCGACTGTTCCGTTCTGCTCAGCAGGCCCTGCTTCTTTAGCCGCTCCTTTGCGGGCCTCCTTGTCCTTTTGAGTCTTCGTTTTCATTCGGGCTTTGATGCCCTCCTTGGACATATCGGGCTTTTCATGCCACACACCCTCAGGAGCTGGTTGGTCGATTTGAGCAAGCCTATCCTCGGAAGGCCTCACGACGTTTGCGGCCTTTTGGGCCGTGTCACCAGCTATATCACGGAGGAGGAGAGTGGCATCGCTAACTGCCAAGAGGTATTAGTCCATTGCGATTGAAAAGTGAGGTTACATATTACTGACGGAGCTTTCTGAATTCGCCATTGGTCACCAAAAGCGTCCCCAAGGTTTTCAAACCCTCGGCGACTTGCTGACCGTGTTGTTTGGCACCCTCTCTGTCTACTGGCTTCTCTGGAGTTTCCACTTGAGGGCGCTGGAAGTTCTCGGCATCCCAAATGAACTCCTGCAAAAGGTTCCCTTCATTTTTAACTAGGACGAGATTCTTGGCGCTATTGATAACATTGCGAACGTCCTGTACGACCACGCGACCTTCCTCGGAGAGTTTGGTTGACGGTGAAGTAAAAGGTTTAGATTGTAGCACACTGTTTAATGCAATATCAATCTGTTTGTTCTAGTTATCCTTTGTTAGTATGTCGTCCCAAGTGGAGGCTCGATTGGCTACTTACTGATGGCACTTTTCCTCTTTTGAACGCCGAATATATGCCATAGACTTGCAATTTGCGGTTAATATCCTATCCTAGCAGTTAGAATGGAATTGGAGTGATTTAAGATGTTAGGAAGTGTCACCCTTTCCCTCTGTTCGGGGTCTAAAGGCTTATTGACAACGTTGGTTTTCGGCATTTTGAAAAACGTCTCTCAGCAATAGCTTCGATACGTAAGGAATAGTATTAGACTTGAAGAATTAAAAGCATATGTCAATTGATATCCGGACTTGGGTGGCAAGAAGAGCTGTCCAAGGGATTGAATAGACGCGATCCAGGCAAATTAGGGAAGGGATAAATTCCGTATGTATACAAAATAAGCAATAACTAGTCAAGTAGGATAGAGAGGTTCACGAGGTGGAAGAGGATCGGCATTTGTAGGTAGCGCCGGGGGTATATCCTCAGTAGAAGGACAAAAGGAAAACAAGAAGGCAGCACGATCGACTAATGTCTATAAGAACCCCCGGAAGGAGATGGGTAGCACTTGACGTCATGGAGTTCGCATTCCGTCTCCCTCTTCACTTTCTGGCAGAGAAAAAGCTATTTGGCAGGAAGGATATCTGATGGCAGGAAATGGAAATCATCTTTGCTACTGATGATGATTAGCATGTAGCCGGTGTCCAAGGACTTCTACTTGGATGAGGAAATCCGGGTTCTTCCATCCTCCTCAGGCAGTCTCGCACGGCCCTGTGGCACCACCAAGGCGCTGATCATTGTTGCTGATCGGCCAGTTGGTGAAGGTCAGTCGCATCGACGAGCAGGATTGCTCGCGTCACTGCAAAGCCTGCGTTGCAGGTCAGGGAGCTGAGTCGTCGGCTACGTCATGACCCCAGAGCCAGGGAAGTCAATCAGAAAGCAAACGAGCAGGCTCGAGAGCTGAACAAGCCATGATTGGCACCTGTGCTGCCAACAATTTGCATTAACTTTTGCTGCCTCCACACTGAAAGTCTCGACCACTGAGTTTGAAGTTAATTGGCCCGGATTTCCCATGAGGAACATGTGGCTTGCTTCCCGCTGATGGCAGCTTCAACGTTCCAGGGTCTCCCCATACTCCTCCCAAAGACTAAAGTCTGACAAGGCGCACGGCTCCGGACGGGAGGCAAGGCTTGCGCATTCGTTGAGAATTGATCTCGCCCGGCGACTGGCGGACGAAGCGCAACCGGCAGCCTAACCCCAAACTGGCAATATTGGTAAATCCATATCACGTGATATCGTGACTTCGGCGCCGCACTTTTGGACGCGTCTTGCGAGGGGCAAAACAATTGGAAATTTGACATATTTCCGTTGTCTTGTTTTCTTTCGGATATAGACTTTTATAGGCGGCTATCAAAGTGCGACGATCAGAGTTTATCTGAAGTGCCTGGCCGGCTCATCATCCTGCAATGCGCCCGAAAAGGCAGACGAGATTGAACTTTACTCCTGTTTCATCCTCCTCTCCTAAGGCGGTACACAGCTCCGCCCGAGCCACTGATCGACTTGCTAATGTTCGTTATTCTCCAACCTTTAGCTCACCGCTCGCATCAAAAGCGGCTGTCAAACGCGAGCCGATCTCAAGTAGCCCGACTCCGTTGCGCATAATAAAGAGTGAGCCGTCGTCCGATGAAGACGAGGATCCCATTCGGGCTCCAGGTTCGGCCTTTCGCTGTCGTCGATTCTCATTGCGCGAAGTAAAACAAGAACCATCGTCCGACGACGACGATGAAGAAGAAGAAGACACAGTCCGTGCCCCTCATCCTAGCCGTAGAACGGGGAAAAGACCAATTGTCGGATCAAGCGACGATAGTGGTGGTCAAGAAGACTCCGATTCTGACGATATCGTTAAGCCATCTCGCACAAAGCGCAGAAGGCACAATGAAGAAGTAAAGACTCCTGTGCGGTCTCGTGACCAATCAGATCAAGAGATGCGCGACCTAGAGGAGGATATGGAGGATCTCCGGGACACTGGTATCTCCTCTCTGTCCTTGTTTAGGCTTTGGAGAATGCACTGGTCTTAGTGACATGCCATTTACTCTAGCTACGACAAAACGCAGAACAAGGGGATACGCCGCTCAGTCGGCCAGCAAACTTAGACAAAAGCAGCAGCTAGAGGCTCTGCGTCGTCGTCGTGCCGGTGAAAGACCAGCAACGGTATCCCCGCCCGAGAAATCAGAAAGTTCGCAGGAAGACGAAGAAGCGTCCATATTGTCCGTCTCTACTTCCTCGGACGAGGATATACTAGAGGATAGCGACATTGAGCCTGCCGTCCCAGAAGACCTTGATAAATACGAAGATGATTTTGTGTTGGAAGACGACGACGCCGAAATTGGTGCCCCAGCGCACCTGGTTGACATGCCATTCGAGTTCTCCCGTCACCGGTACAAGCGACTTAGAGACCATTTTAGAGACGTCGTCGAGTGGATGGTGCATAACAAACTGAACCCAGCGTTTTCTCGGGAAGACGAGGTGTATAAAGTTGCGTTTATTAAGGTCAATGACGAAGTGACAGGTGTGGCGGGCTCGCAGTTGGTGTCTTCTGTCTGGAGCAAAAAGTTCATACGAGCGCTTGAAGCCCGACCAGGTATTGAAATCACCCCCGAACCGCATGCGAGGCTACTACAAAATTGGTGTGACGCCTGCAACAGATCAAAGCATCCACCTAAATTTGATATCCGCTTCACCGGGAAACCATATCTCCTGGAAACCCTGGAGCCGGTTTATGATGATGAGGACAGCATCGCTAGCGACGATGTCGTCGATGAAGAGGAAGAGACCGACCCGTTAGATCGAAGCAACATTGACCGCGAAGGCCGCCGGATCGCTGACGAAAGTACTCATTTCTACGTTGGAAGGTTCTGCAAAGCGAAAGCAACTATGGCACACACCCTTATCCACTGGCGCTTCCGCCTCAATGAATGGGTCATTGATTATCTGGAGCGCAAAGGCGTCTTTTCAAACGCGAAAATTTTGGAGCGAGAGCATTGGAGTGTGAAGAAGAAGACGCGATACGCGAATGAGGTGGTGGATGAGATGCAAGAAAAGGAGATCGATCGGCTGTGGAAGGATTTCAACTTGAAGTTGAAAGGGGCGAAGCAGGACGGAGGGGTGAGTCTTCTCTTTTCTTTTCCTTTTTTTTTTTTTTTTCCCCTCCCCAAGGTCATAGATTTACTAGGGACCAGGGCTGACGGATAATTAACTTGTCAGGAATAACAACGGTGATAAGCCTTCGGAGTGATATGGTTCTGACGTACTCCGTACTTTCCTCCCTAACGATAGTAGCCCGCATAGTCCGGGTGCACTCAGTATCATGTTGACTAATTGCCCAGCAAGAAGCTTCGGTCTAGAATTTTTCGAAGCCTTCAAACCCGGCTGATATCCGTTTTGAGATACCCATACTCACCTTACTTTTCTCTTCACTCTTTAAATATGTTAAGATTAGATATCAGCCGTAATGGCTTCATTCGGGTCTTAGCGCCGTCCAAATGATATGAGTTAAACCAAATTCCCATTGACTATATACACATACAGCATCCTCCGTTGGAAAATGATAGCATTAAAAGAAAGATCCCAGGGCGATAAAACTACAGGTTTTCGAAATGTGAGAGAAGAGAGTGGATAAGGCTGGTCGTGTCGTAGCGGGAGTTCGGCAGAACGGAGGAAGAGGAAAGCAATTGGTGGGCATATTCATCAATGCCCTGCTAGGCTTAGGAGAACCGATTGAGAACGTGGTATCTTTTGCACGGTCATAAGGAGATCCACCACGACCTCGATAGCGTATTTTGGCATGGGCACGTATTTCAGGAACCGTCTGAAAGAAAACAAATTCATCGTTGGGAAGACAACCAGCCACCACAGGCTCAAACGGCATGCGAGATAAGACCTATACTGGGGGTTGCATCCCGTCGTCCGATTCAATTGTCTTCTTCTGGTTCAATTTGGACGAGTTTGGTTCCATCCATTTAGATGGCTGGCTGAGCGCCTTGCTGACCTTGCGTCAAGGCACTCGTGGCACCGGGAGTTAACATCTGCAAAAAAGTTACCCAAGTCAGCCAATGTGTCCCAAGCTAGATATATCAATTGGAAGGCGGTCCTTTTTCAGGGGGGTTACAGACCTCGTTAGCGCCCTTGATCATGCCCTGCTCCCTCTCCATCTGGACATATTGCTGCTCCTCGGCCAGTGCGAGGGCCCAAGGCACACCCAGCAAGAAAGCACTTGTGCTCACCACCCACAGCGTCTTCCCGCCAAAGGACAAGGTTGATTTTGTGAAGGAGGTGATGGCGGAGACTGTGCTTGAGATTTTCCGCCGGGAGGATGGGGGAATGATATCTTGGAGGGCGGCGATGCGTTCATAGAGGGATTCTTCTTCAAGAGTGGCGTAGGAGTCGGTTGAGATCTCGGACTCTTTGGGATGGGGGGCAGTGTTGTTAGTTAACTGGAGGGCAGAGAAGGGGAATGGTGAAGGACATACCGGTGTCTGTGTAGTCGTCGTCGTCGTCGCTCAGGAGTAGGGCGTCGTTCTTGGTTGTGGCGGGCTTCTCCTTGAAGTGCTCGTCCTCGACCTCGGTGAGCTTGACCATTTTGAAAGTTTTACTATTAGGTAGGTATAGAGGCTAGTAATACAAGAAGAGCTGAATGAAAAGCAAGCTCACTGGCGACGGGAAGACGAAGAAGAAGGAGGAGGAGGATGCGTTTGGGCGTTGGACGGAGAGCAGCTTCGAGTCTTCGCTTTTTCGCTGAACTTCAGAAAAGAAACCAAACTTTTTCTGCTCGCCGCCTTTACGGTTGCTGACTAAATGATTAGCTAACGGGCTTCTATCCAGGGCGGCACTGCGCTTTTCCCTTTCTGGCCGCCGTCCGACTTTTCTTCCAGCATCGCGAGAAACAAACAACGCCGCAAAGGGGAGCGCCAGACTGAACGATCGAGGATCTTCGCAATGGGCACGGCCCAGTGAGCGCATCAAGAGACGGTTCAATTGCCGCGCAATCTCCTCCTGTCACACCCTTGCACGACTTGGAAAAGTCTCTTTTGGCACGTTGCACACCCGCCCAGGGTCTCGACCGTCCATTTGACTTTGGCAAACAACCTTCTTTGATATCCAGGCAGTCGGCCAGACCTGCCGCCGACCATGAAAAAGGATTCTACACAGAAAGGCGCCGATCACCCCCCGTTGCCTTTTTTTGCAAGATTTCCGTCGCCAGGAAAGGCCTGCCGCTGATACAGCTCGCTGTGCCTTTGGTCCCCTAGCTACCCATACATTCCTTGCAAAAGCGCACCCCCTCCTGCAGCGGCTGCATCCGCTCGGCCCGTATTCGCAGCGGACACAAAATCCAGATCCAGGAACAAAGCATAGAAACCGTCACCGCCGAAATGCGCATGCAGCGCCGTTCATTACGCGGCCATTTCTGACTGGATTTTAAAAGAGTCGGGGAAAAGAAGATAAGTAAGAATTATTTTTTTTTTCAAAAAAAAAAAAAAAAAAAAAAAAAAAAAAAAAAAAAGAGGGCTGGCGCAGAAAAATTTCGCCTAGCTCGGTTGCAGCGGATTCATTAAATTCAAAGCAATACCACTATCGCATTTCCCGGAATCCTCAACTCGCACGACCAAATAACACTCTTCCATTCTCCCTTTTTCCTCCCCTTACCCTGTCTCTGTCTCTCTCTTTGTGCTGGATTACTTCATCAAGCGGAAATCCAACATCATGGCCGAAGATTATTTCCCAGACATCCCCATCCCTCCGCCCAAAAACCGGGGCTACCTCCAACCCTTCATCCTCCCCCCGCGCCGGCAGCACACCCACACCGTGATTCTCCTCCACGGCCGCGGCGGCAACGGTCGCGACTTTGGCGTCGAGCTGATCACCACCAAGCTTCTCTCATGCGACACGCTCCCGCAGCGCTTTCCCAGCACAAAATTCATTTTCCCCACCGCCAAGCTACGGCGGTCCACGCAGTTCAAGCGCATTCCCATCGCGCAATGGTTCGACCTGACGAATCTAGGCACGGAAAATGAGCGACGGGACATACAGCATGAAGGACTGAGGGAGAGCGCGCAGTTCGTACATCGGATCATCGAGGAGGAGGCGGCGCTGGTGGGGATTGGGAACGTTGTTGTGGGCGGGCTGAGTCAGGGCGCTGCGCAGGCACTACATATACTGATGAGCTACGATGATGGCGGGAAGGGCGGCCTGGGAGGGTACGTGGGTATGAGTGGTTGGTTGCCGTTTCAGAAAGAGATGGCAGAACTGGTGAATGAGTACTCTCGTGATGCGAACGGTGACCGATTGGACGACCCGTTTGAGAGGAATGGAGAAGACGGGCCGGCGCACCTACTAAACTTGTCGGGTGATAGCCGTTCCGATCTTGGCGCTCGTGCGGTGAATTTCTCGCGTGAATGTGTCCTTGATATCGACCCGCTTCCACCGAGGGATACGGCGCCTGGCTGCCTATCCACCCCCATCTGGCTTGCGCACGGGGCGCTCGACGAGAAGGTCCGACCGCGCTTGGGCGAACTGGCCGCTCAGACGATGGAGAAGCTTGGGTGGGACGTTACGTGGATGCTGTATGATGACCTGGAGCATTGGTTTGCGCCATACGAGCTGGATGATATGGCCATATTTTTGAGCGCGAGGGTGGGCATACCGGAGGTAGATTAGCCCGTCGGATATCGCACTTATGGAAGAGGCTCACCAATCGAAAAAAAAAAAAAAAAGGAAATGAAAAAGGATTGGCGCAAGAATGGGTATCGTGGGATTGGGCGCGGCTGGCATGTGTTCCTTTACCGATGAGATATGGGTTTTTGGGGTTTCTTTTCTTTTCTTTTCATTTGGTCATCGATATCAGAAAATGATAAGCTCTTGCATGGCAGGACCGTTTGGGTGCTTAAGGGATGCTTTTTTTTTTTTTTTTTTTTTTTTTAAATTTGCTTGCCCGGGTCGTTGGTTTGTGCATTGGCATATGCGGGAATACCGCGAGTGATGCAGCTATTTTGCTATTGTGTTTTGATGCATATCATGATATCAATTCAGGTAGTTCAGAGTACTCGGTATGTACTTGTATATTAATTTCTATCACAATGCATGTATCAAACTAGAGATAACAGTAACGCCACAGCAAATTTTTCCCTTGGAAAGGTGAGAGTGTTGTACAAACATCCATTATCCTCCACTTATCCCGATGTTCATCCCCTTTCCAACATAGCAGAAATACCCAATCACCCATACCACAAGCCTAGACAGATAAAAAGGAAACCAGGGGACCACAAAGCAAAAAAAAAAAAAAAAAAAAAAAAAAAAAAAAAAGATACGATCACCTTCTTCCTAGATACCACCCGTTAATCCTATCCTGAATATCATTCCACCTCATCGGATTCAACTTGACTCCTTCCAACTCTCCCTCCTGCAACACCACCGTCGGCAGTCCCGTGCCCATCCCCTTGTTCTTCACCTTACCGAAGAACACGTCCTTGGCAACACGCCGTAGATCCGCCACCGTCACGGCCTCGATCTGCTTACACATCTCCATCGCCCCGATCTTGCGTCCGTGCACCTGCACCTGTCTGCCCAGGTCCTCGAGCTCGACCATGCGCGACTCCAGATTCATCAGCAGCGACGAGCGCAGCTGGTTCTTGGCGCGATTGACCTCGGCGAGCTGCAGGGCCGAGTAGCCCTTCTCCAGAGTGAGCGCCTGCAGCTCACCGCAGATCACATCGATCATGTGTGTCAGGCGTTGCGGGTGGCAGGAGGCGGAGATGCCGAAGAGTCCGCTGTCGGTGTAGCTGAGGTTGAAGGCCATGCAGCTCTCGACCCAGCCGTGTTGGTTGAGGACGTTGGTGTAGAGGCGTGAGTACATGCCTTTGCCGGGACCGCCGGCGGAGAAGGAGCCGCCACCGCCGAGGAGGGTTTGGAGGGTGGCGAGGGCGTAGATGTCTGGGGAGGAGATGGGGAGGGCTTCGAAGGCGATGTGGATGTAGCTGAGGCGGGGGAGGGCGGGGTTAGCGGGAGGCGGGATGGGCGGGAGGGAGAGGAAGCCGCCGGTGTAGTGGGATACTTGGTTGAGGTTGAGGGTGTCGGGTTTCAAAAGGTCTGGAGAGAGCGGGGAGACGGAGGCGCGTGCTGAGGCGGAGGTAGAGAGGGATTTGAGGAATGGGAGTTTGGAGAACATCCCCGACGATGAAGATCTGGACGTAGACGCAGAGGACGATGTTCTCGAAGACGATGACGAGGAGGAGGACGACGTCTCGGCCACTGTCGTAGATGAAGGAGAAAACGCCGGCATCGTAGGAACCTCCTCATCGGCATCGTTAACCCTGATCTCGCTTCCCACTCCCTCCAGCACCGGCGCCGTCTTCCTCTTCATATCCCCAAAGTACATCTCCGTCAACCTCACCGCCTCCGCATGCGGCACGCCGGCAAACGCAACTACCATCCTCTCCGGCCCAAAGAACACATCCCGATACCTCTCCACCGTCTTCCTATCGATCTGATCCAGCCTCTCCTTCGGACACAGCAGCGGGTTCCCCAGCGTATTATCCTTGTACGCCGCCATGTTCACCAGCTCCGGCAATATCATCTCGGGCTTCGCCCACAGCTCACGGATCTCATAGTCCGCCACGGCAAGCTGCATCTGCACCTCTTCGTCCGTGATGAGCGGCTCGCGGATCGTCTCCGCCAGAAGGCCCAGCGTCGTCGGCACCGCGGAGTTGAAGCTCGCGGACTGGTACATCAGCGACTCCCGCGACGACGCGCACTGGATGTTTCCCCCCAGCGACTCCAGCGCCTCGAGCATCTGGTCGCCCGTCCGCGTCTTCGTCGATTTGAACGCCAGCCGGTCGACGATGTGGCTCACGCCGCGGAGGCTTTCGTTCTCGTAGCGTGAGCCTGCGTCGATGTACACGCCGACGCCGGCGAAGGGCCCCGGCAGCGATTCCGTGGCGACGCGGAGGCCATTGGGTAAGGTGGTGATCTGGTCAAGCTCAACGGGGTCCTACAGAGAATAAAGAACGAAAAAAGGGCCTTGTGCGTCAGACAAGCTGGGTTCTTCTTCTACTTCTTCTTCTTCTTCTTGTTTTGTCGGGGAGGTTTTGGCTTACCTTGGTTGCGGCCTCGGAGCCGGTGGATTTGCCCTGTGCGAACCGTTTAGTCCATCGAGGATCGAACCTCTGCGCTAGATGCGGGCGGATTAAAGGTCGTAATGAGCCTGGTCTTATTGCAAAACGAGGCATTGTGGAAGTGATGGCTTGCACGGAGACCGACTGTCGTGGAGCTCTCTCTCTCTTCTCTCTCTTCCGACGCGGTTAAAGGAAAGAAAAGATCCGCCCGCCGTTTTGTGGTGATGCAACAAAAAACGGGCTTCAAGCGCGAAAGTTACTTTTTTATTTTTAGCGCAGCACATGACGAGAGACGATTTCCAGACGAGAAAAAAAAAAGAAACAGTTTCGCATCAAAAAGACTATGTACATATAAGATGATGTCTACGAAAAATATATATATATATATATATATATATATATATTTAAAATGTAATGTCTACTAATACTTCAAGGGATTCCGACATTCAAAAACAATTCACAAGAAAAAAAAAAGTAAAATAAAAATATAAAAATAAAAAAAATAAAAATAGTTAATGCTCGGCGGCCCATTTCCGATACCACTCGAGACAGGCAGCATTTGCAACGCTCGCTCCCGTCTTGATGTTCAATCCACACAGGATCTGCTTCACTGCGTTCTCGATCTTCTTGCCATTGGATGTCACGGGAATCTCTGGGCAGGAGTCGATGATGGCTGGCACATGGCGCGGACTCAGCTCCTTGCGGATCACGGCCTGGATGCGAGCCGCCAGACCATCAGGCAGAGTCGGCGGCTCCCTGACGACTCCGTTCGGAGTAGAGACCCCCGAGGACGCGGAGGACGTGCTGGTCAGCTTGACGAACAGGACAACCGTCTCGTCGGTCTCAATTCCATTTCTTCGCCGTCCAATGCACAGAGAGTCCTCGATCTCGTCGGCAAAATGCTTCAGGATCACGTTGTATATCTCAGCGCTTCCGAATCTCACGCCGGCGGGCTTCAACACACCGTCGCTTCTGCCTAGCATGACCAGTCCTCCCGTGACGGGATTGATCTTGACGAAATCCCCATGGTGCCAGGTGTGATCTCCATACGTCTCGAAGTAGCTCGAACGGTACTTTGCTTCGCCGACGGCGCCCGGAGGCCAGAACATGACGGGTTGCGCGGGAAACGGCTTGGTGCACACCAGGTCTCCAGCGTCATCCGTCTTGCTGATGTCATTGGCCGCGTGGTCAAAGACGGACACGGCCATGCCCAGTCCTCGACACTGGATCTCTCCTCGGTGGACAGGAAGGATCGGGCAGCAGGCTCCAAAGAGCGAGATGATGTCCGTGCCACCGGTGATGGAACCCAGCAGGATATCCTCGTGGATGGAAGAGTAGACGTAGTCAAACGTCGAAGGGGCCAGCGGAGAGCCAGTGCTGAAGATTGCCCGCAATGTCCGGAACGTCACGGGTCGGTGGGGATGCTTTCGCGGGTTCAGCGCGGCCTGCTCCAGCACGGAGAGGTATTTCGCAGAGGTTCCGAAGTGGGTGATGTGCAGCTCGTCGATCAGTCGAGCCATGGCCATGTCGCCTTTTCCGTTTTCCGGGTCCAGCGGTCGGAAAGGTGATCCGTCATAGAGCACAATGCTCGATCCGCTGGCCAGCGCGGACACGAGCCAGTGCCACATCATCCATGTTGTGGTGGTGAAGTAGAACAATCTGTCGCCGGGGCCGATGTCGCAGTGAAGCACATGCTCCTTCTTGTGCTGAAGAAGGGTGCCCAGGGCTCCATGGACGATGGGTTTCGGTGCTCCGGTCGTGCCGGAGGAGTAGAGGATGTAGATGGGGTGATCGGGCGGGAGATATTCGAATCGTAAGGGAGCGTCTGACGTCCGGGCGGAGGCTATGAAGTCGGCATAGGTGACAGTGGAACCGTTGGGTGATACGATGGAGGAGACGTCAAAGGCATGATCTCTGACGGCGTCAAAGATGACGACCAGCTGCAGGCACGGCAAACTTGCGGCGACCTCGGCGACCTTTGCATGTGTGTCGTGGACCTTGCCGTTGTATATGGAGGCATTGTCCGCAAAGAGCAGCTTGGGCTCGATCTGGCGCAAGCGCTCTAGGACGGCGTGGACCCCGGTATCCGTGGAGACGCCGCTCCAGAGGGCTCCTATGGAGGTCGTGGCCAGCATGGCGATCAAGGTGTTGGGATGATTTCCGACGAACCCGGCAACCCGATCTCCCTTGGCCACGCCAGCATCGCGCATGGCGGCGATGCACAGCCGAACCCTTTCTCGCAGGTCCTTCCATGAGATGTGTTCGCGGGTGGATTCGGTGGCAGCGATGACGGCGACGGCGTGCTCGTGGGGATTGCTGGACGGGAAGAGGAGGTTCTCCGCGAAATTAAGCAGAGATCCATCGAAGAACGGGCGTTTCGGGAACAGGAGGGCTTCCGGTTGGCAGACCTAAAGAGTGCAAGCTTTACCGTCAGCGCAAGATGTTTCTTTTTCCCTTTCCTTTCTTTTCTATTCTTTATTTTCTTTTCCTCTTTCTTTGTTTTTCTTTTCTTTTCTTTTCTTTTTTTTTTTTTACCCTCCCCGCCTGAAAAGAGAGAAAAATATCAAGGGTTAATTAAAACTGACCTCCTCGTACGGCCTGTGAGCCTTGACGCCGGTGTAGTTCCACACCTCCTCCCAGAACTTGGCGGGCTCATCGACGCTCCATTGCCAGAGATCGTGGTATGACTCTAGACCGGGAGCGTGCTTCGAGGCGACGATGGACTTGAACTCGTGGATGCTGGTGGCCTCAGGGTTGGCGGGTCGCCACAGCTCTCTTGCGTCTTCTGCGTAGTCCCCCATACCGTTGGTCCTGTCTATGAATGGCATCACCGGGGCCAGCAGACTTGGTGAGTGGGAGGAGGGAGGGGTTTCTTTGTCTCCAGGCGGCGGCGGCGGTGGTTCTCCGAGAGCTAGTCTACTGTTATCGGAGCGGCGGATTAGAATTTGGGGTGAGAGAGAAGTATATAAGTTAACCAACCCAACTAACTAGTTACTGGACACTCCCGCGAACAACACAAAGGCCCTCCCTCTGTTTTTCTGAGAGACAACGCTGGGCTGTTCGTTTTGAATCCGCCCGCCTCTCAACTCTCTTTTCAACTCGCTTTCAACTCTCTCTCTCTTCGACTTTTTCGCTTCCGCCGCCGAAACTCGCGTCGCTCGCCGCCTTCCGAAAAAAGATCAAATTTCCGAAGCGTCGGAAGCCGAATTGGCCAATCAGAGGCTGTCGGGGCCTGGCTTGCTTAGGTAATACCAACGCTGCCTCCTGCCTAATCGGGACCGGAATCGGGTTAATATATTTCCGCCCCACCGTTTTGACCGCTGTTGGGATCAGTCACGTGAGATTATGGGGATGACTGTGCAACTTGCAACGGAGCAAACCTGCTGTATGTAGATACACTATATATCTCATGTAGAGAGTTGCACACAGTAACTACGGAGTATCACTCAGCTAAAACTCATGTGCCGCCGTGCATTTAACCAGTTAATTAATAAACTCACACGCCCCCGTTTGCTTGACCTCCTCCCCACTGAGAGGAAACGCAGAAGACGGCCTCTACAGGGATTCCGATGGAGGTTGGGGGTTGGAAGACACGCACAAAATTGGGTAATTGGCAACGTTAAGATAAACTAACTATAGGAATAACTCCGCCCATAGTTGGTTAGCATGTACATGCCTTCTTCCCCGTCTGACCCCAACTCCCTTTCTCATTCTTCCCAGCGTCTACAGAGTAATGTGGGTGGCTTCAGCCATCCTTGGTCTGGATCGCTTCGATGATGTCTTCACAAGCAGTCTGGATTGTACGGGAGTAATATGCATGACCGCAGCTAAGAATGACGTGCACTCAACAGAGTGAGCCGCTGAACCACGTCTCTGGACCACAGGTTCTAGAACGATAGGCGAAATCCCAATCATGATCGAAAGCTTACCATACTTTTTCCTCGTTATGTGGAAGTGAGCGGTGGTGTTTTTGGGTCGGGGGGAGGAACTGCAGCTCAGCTAGACCACGCATAGTTCCGCCAAGGGAGACGAAGGAGAATATTTGGAATGAGCATATTTAACTCTCCAACTGCTGCAGTTCCGGTGGCGCAACAGGGTGTCACCAAATCGACACGAGAGAGAGAGAGAGAGAGAGAAAGAGAGAGAGAGAGAGAAGAGAGAGAGAGAGAGAGAGAGAGAGTGTGTGTGTGTGTGAGAGTGTGAGTGAGTGTGACAGAATACTCTGTATTGGAGTGTGCTTCTTCCAGCTCTAGGAGCGAGCGATTTGAACTTGTCTTTTCGGGAAATTGACGGCAGATCCCACAGATGTAAGCAGCCCACTGGTGGCCACTTGGGGCTCTGCGTCTGGGGAATTTGATGGTCTCGTAAGTCTGGATATCATGTTTGGGAATGTTGCATATCAAACTCGCCATCTGTAGCTACCTTACCTTCCGACTCCTCACAAAGACACCCGTATGTCATCTGTTCTTGGTGGCCACTCGGAGGCTAAGCAGTATGGCTCGCAGGAGCGATACAGATCAGACGAATATTCTATCGATCAGTGTGCTAAACTCGAGTGGACCCCGGCACGGAACGTACTTTTGCTGCTGCTGGCGATGGGGAGTGTGTCCAGGTGGATCTTTCGGAGGAAATATCTTGAAGAAGACTTGATCTAGGCTTATCATCTTACGAGAACCAGCTCCTTTGCGTCACAAGCAGAGTATCCGGGCTGCAATTCTTGGTCCGAATCCTTGAGGCCAGCAGCAAAGTAACCATGTAGGTACTGGGCGTATGGGCATCTACGCCTCCCTCAAGCCAACGTTCCTTTACACACCTGCAGATGACTTGGGCTAGGCCCCTTTGTCTTTTCTGTTCCCTTTTCTTTTTCTTTTTTTTTCTTTTCTTTTCTTTTCTTTTTCTTTTTTTTTTTTTTTTTTTTTGTGCAACTCAGACATCTCAACCAGAGTTCCGGTAACCGGGAGGCAGAATGGATGAGTCCTGCATGGTCTCGATAGAACAAACGTGGAACGCGAGGCTGCTCCTTGCCCACACTTTTCCAGTGTAGTAGACAGGCCAGGGGAAATTTTGCCGGCTTGTCGAATGGTAGGCTAAGATGTTTTGTGGTTTTTCCAGTCGGGTTCATTGCTTTTTGTGGTTTTTCTAAGTCGGGTTCATTGCTCCATCCTTCAAAATGGCCTACATAATATGATGACGCCTGGCACCCCGGTCCTTAGGATCCAGCCCACTCTGCACCACCACCAAGACGGAGCAGACAGCACGATAGAGGCTAGAGCGGCCGCTCAGGGCGTGATGAGACAGCAACATCCTTCGCCAGAGAGCGAGTTCCAACTCAGAGCTGCCGGTCAACTAAATAGCTTGCCCTGCCTCGTGCTCTTTTTTTCTTTTTTTTTTTTTTTTTTGATTTTTATTTTTATTTTTTTTTTTTTTTTACCAGTTCCTTCAACGTTAACTAAGCTCTCTCTCCCACGCAATCCCTCGCCGTCACGAGCGTTGTGCCCGTCAAAGCTGTTTTTAGCTGCTTTTTTGCTGGTTTGCAGTTTTGCTTTTGCTCTTTTGTTTTTGTTTTGCCCCTAAATGCGCTAGTAAGATTAGGCCGTAAGATTACTTTACTTCCCTGTGCGGTGTTGTGGTTGGCTGCGCGCGGGCGGTAACGGCGTTTCGCGTCCGAATCAAACGCAGACAGCGAAAAACAAAAACAGAAAAAAAACAGCAGCAACTCAAAAGTCAAGTAAGAGACGAAAAAGTTCTCCTCAAAAAGTCTCCTAACAAACTAGTTAGTTACATCTCCAAGAGAGACGTGCAGTCTTCCCATGTCGTGAGCCTGGAGAGCTCGTCCTCGCGCGTCTGTGTGCTCTCTCTCTCTCTCTCTCCATTCCCCTCCTCTCTTCCTCTCTTCCTCTCCCCTTTCTCTCTCTCTCTCTCTCTCTCACACACACTCTCTGTGCTCTGGTTCGCACTGTTCCCGGCTGCACCGGATCGCTCCACTGAAGGTTTGTTCTCGGCCCTCTCTGTCCTTGCTCGACATGAATTTCTTCCCTCTTTTCCTTTTTCCTTTTTGGCATTTCTTTTCTTACGCCACACAGCCCTCAAAATTGAGACAAAAGATATCATGAATTAAGCGTAAACGGTCATCAGTGTTGATAGGCGTTCTTTGGAATTCCTCGTCGCTCCCTTTTTCCATGGATGCAATCGTTGACCTTTCTCGCCAGAAGCTTTCTCTCCTCAAACTCAGCCTTCCATCGAGACTACCTCGCCAGCGCCATCAAACTGCTCTGCTCTCGTCTCCGGCTGCCGCGCCAATCGGCGTAGTTGAGCTGCGATTCGAGCCCTTCAGATAAACCTTTTTTACTTCCCTTTTAATCTCCCTTTCTCTTTTTTTTTTCCTTTTTTTTTTTCTTTAAAAAACCTTCCCCTGCGATGCCTCGTCGACCTACGAGCTCCCTCGTCGACATCTCCTCAAACTCCTCGTCCTCTGCTTCCACCGCGCCTGAGAAACTCTCGACGACGAAACCTACAAATCCAAGTCGCAACCGCTTCAGCCAATTGCTCCTCAGTGGCCCCAAGCCCAAGTCGGAAGCCGTCTCGACCTCTGGTGGTGGCTCACATCCACGCAACGGTCCTGCTGCTGTGAACGGCTCCTCTCGTCTGCCCACCATCTCCCTTTCCACCGCAGACGCGCCCAGCATGGACTCCTCCGCGACCACCACTCTCTTCCAGCCGCCCTCCCCCCACGAGGCGCACCGCATCGCAAAGCAACATGCCCAGTTCGGGCCCCTCGGTCATCCTACCCACCGCTACACCTCCCGTCACCAGGGCGGCGCCTTTCCGGACCCGATCATGGACGAACCCCCGTATTTTTACTTGCTTACCACCTATATCAGTTACTTAATCCTAATAGCGTTTGGCCATGTCCGCGATTTTTTCGGGAAGCGGTTCAAGGAGAAGGACTACCGCCATCTGAAACCCCAGAACGGTTACGGCGCCCTGAACAGTGATTTCGACAACTTCTACGTTCGTCGCCTGAAGCTTCGCATCAACGACTGCTTCGAGCGCCCCGTCACGGGCGTTCCCGGACGATATATCACCCTGATCGACCGTGTCAGCGATGACCAGAATCGCCATTTCCGCTTCACCGGCACGACCACGGACACCCTGAACATGAGCTCCTACAACTACCTCGGGTTCGCCCAGTCTGAAGGCCCCTGCGCGGATGCCGTTGAGCAGACCATCCGCAAATACGGCATCAGCTCCGTCGGCACCAGAGTCGACGCCGGCACTCAGGATCTCCACGTCGAAGTCGAAGACCTGGTCGCCAGATTCGTGGGCAAGGAAGCGTCCATGGTCTTCTCCATGGGATTCGGCACTAACGCCAGTATCTTCCCGGCCCTGGTGTCCAAGGGATGCTTGATCATCTCGGATGAGCTAAACCACGCGTCTATCCGCTACGGTGCAAGGTTGTCCGGGGCTTCTATCGAGATGTTCAAGCACAACGACGTCAACGCTTTGGAGAAAAAACTGCGTGAAGTGATCTCCCAGGGCCAGCCACGCACCCACCGCCCGTGGAAGAAGATCCTGCTGGTCGTCGAGGGGCTCTATTCGATGGAGGGTTCAATGTGCAACCTTCCGGGAATCCTTGCCTTGAAGAAAAAGTACAAGTTCAACCTGTTCATCGATGAAGCCCACTCCGTCGGAGCCATTGGACCACGGGGAAGAGGAATCTGTGACTATTTCGGCATTGACACAAAGGAGGTCGACATCCTGATGGGTACGCTTACAAAGTCGTTTGGTGCGAACGGTGGCTACATCGCTGCGGACAAGGTCGTCATCG